ATCAAATTAATTTTCTATGGGTAAGTGTGCGGGAATAAATCCACACAAAGAATAACCACCTCATACGAATGGAGAAGGTGTTGATGAAGCCTAGAGTAACCTACAAGACAAGAGAACACCTAGATGAACCGATGACCGGAGGCGGCCAAAGGGACTTCGATGCTTAAGTTAAATCGTGAATCAAAGAAAAGTATAGAGTGAATAGGCTCATATTCCATAAATTACCTGATACATGTGACCTTTATTTATAGTAATAGAGATATGTATCCCAAACAAAGTTTTGATTAATTGACTCAATCTCATGACTAGGTCTTAGAAGTTTGGGGTAGAGTTAGATTAGAACTCTTGGTCCTAGGTCCTTATTACCAACTCCTGTTTGGTCGGAGTAGCATTTTACTTGGACTATAACTTCTTGGTATCTCCTTACCAACTCCTAGGTATTCAACGTGGTATTAGATTAGGACTCGAGGTTCTAGGTTGATCCTTTATTCAGTAGGACTTACCTATAGTCACCTTAGGTGCCAAGCGCGAAAGAGCAAGGACTCGACCAAGTCACTTACTAGATGGAAGTGGCCAGGTGAGCCACATACCGACTGGTAGTGCAAGCCAGTCCATTTGTTGACTTGCAGTGGGTCTTGGTCTTCAAATGTCGAGTGGTGTGACCCACTTTCTTCAATTGCCAAGTGGCATGAGCCACTCTCCTTGCCTCTTGCCGACTGACATGACTTTCCTTGCATCTTGTTGAGTGCCATGAGTGTCTTGAGCACTTTATGCCTCACAATTGCCCCAATACCCTAATTAATTGATTTCCTATTAATTGAGGTATGCTTTAGACTTCTTTTGCCTGGGAAGCTAGGGCTGCAATTGCCTAAGGAACTTAGGGCTTTCTTCTCTCTCTTCTCCTACTCACTTATTTCCTTTTGTGTTCCTTCACTTGGTTCATAGGTTAGGGCTTAGTTGATAGAGGGAAAGGAGAAGCATTCATTGCTACTCTTACATGTGCCTTACTTTGCTCATGAGCTAGTTGAACGATAAGAGTTACGCCGAGTCTAATAGGGTGAGGACATACATGCTTGAGAAATAACTTAAGGATCCTAGAATGGAGAATGTCTTCTTGAAGAAAAAGGTTACTGAGGGAGAGACTTGAGCTGACAAGCTTCAATAGGAACTTACTAGGCTAAGAGGAAAAATGTTGAGAAAGAGGCGCAAGTGAAAAATATCATTTGCGATAATTGCTCTGGGATTTTGGATAAAGTCAAGAGGAAAGAAGTCCTTTGGAGATGGTTAAGGATGAGCCCTCAAGGCAGTCAAAATTGATAGGTTATATCTAGTTTGGGAGGACATTCCATGTCCTGACAATGACTTCTTGATTCCTGAGATCATGGAGAAGTTCCTTAGTGGTGGTGGTTCAAGTCTTCTAACACATGTGCCCGTCATTCTGACCAAAAGGAGAGGGTCACCACGAGTTGAAGTGTCTACTGCTCGAAGGTGGCAAATACTTGAGAAATGCTAAGTAGTTTGTTTAGCAATTATAGAAGTTGTTGGTCGTTTGTTGAAGGTTGAGTAACTTAGAGGACAACCTTTGAGGTTTCATAGAGGCAAAGTAGTCTGAAGGACAACCGTGTAGGTTGCATGGAGGCCAAGTAGTCTTGAAGGGCAACCTTAGAGATTGGCTTGAGGTAAAACTACAGAGGTCGGCTTGAGGTGCAAGCAAGGAGGTTGGTTTAAAGTGCAACCACGGAGGTCGACTTGATGTGCAACCATGGAGGTTGGCTTAAGATGTTACCACAAAGGTTGGCTTGAGGTGTAACCACAGAGGTCGACTATAGGTGCAACCATGAAGGTTAGATAGAGGTGTAACTAAGGAGATCGACTTAAGGTGTAATCACAGAGGTCAGCTTAAGGTGCAACCACAGAGGTCGGCTTGAGGTGTAACCATAATGGTTAGTTGTAAGCTCAACCAAGGAGGTTGGCTTGAGGTTTAACCACGGAGGTTGGTTGTAAGTGCAACCACGGAGGTCGGCTTGAGGTGCAACCACAAAGACTACAATAATCACAAATAGAGGAACACTTAGAGATGTGAAAAAAAATTTCTCTTTACTAATCAATGAGAACGTGAAACGAAATGTCTTTGAAGACTTATTAAAATAATAAGACGTTGTTAACTAAACTCAAAGTAAAACTTATATCTGGTAAGCCACCTGATTAGATTTGTTGTTTTCCTGCTCCTTGGTAGTCTTTCCTTGTCAATGTACCGAGAAAGGTGGCCTTATTTGACTAACTCTTCTAGATGGTACTTGAATGCTCAATAATTCTCCGTCCAATACCTCTGTCCTTGTGATTAAAATAATGGAGGTTTTGGTCCCACCTTGATGGATCTCCTATCATCTTAGGTGGCCACCTAAAATACTCATTGTCTTTGATTTGGTTCAAGATTTGATAGATAGGCTCCTTGAAGAAAGTTTTAGTTCCTTGGTAGGAGTTTCTCGTTTCTTTGGATGACCCGTCTCTCATTGATGGATTGGGAGTATTGTCTTCCTCAATCTAATTCTTGTTTGGTAATCGGTCGACTGGTCCATTGTCGTCCTTCACCTTCACGGGCCACTTAATATGCTCATGCAAGTGTGACATAATCTGGGGGCTGCCACATGGTGTGATGCTTCCTCAATTCTCTTTCCCTGGGGAGGCCCAAACAGGAAGAGACAATGGTGGTCTTATCGTCGCACTCTTCTATGTCGGTATAGATTTCCAAGTACCTCGCAGCATACTCATAGAGAGTCTCTCTGCGTTTATGTCGTATTGCCAAGAGTGTGTCAATCGTCATTGGCTCTCGACTATTGGCTATGAATTAAGAGACGAATTCCCTACAAGCAATTCCCAAGAGAAGACCGAGTTCACAGGCATCCCATGAAACCATTTAAGAGTCGATCTCCCCAAGCCGAAGGAGAACATCTTACACATCAATCCCTCGTTGTTTGTCAAGAGGTCATCTTATTAGTAAAGGCTCCTATGTGGAGCACGAGATCAGACTTGCCATCGTACAACTCGAAGGACAGAGGAGAGAACTTATGTGAATTCTTGTATAGACTGAACAAAAGGTGTAGTGGTCATCTTAAGTAAGATCTGTCTTGCCCTTTCTTTGATCGAATATACGAGATCATTTTGGCCAATGTCAAGATGAAGATGATCGTAACCTTCATGGGTTGGCTGAAAGTGCGTACACTTTTGTCTTCCGTAAACATTGTACCACTCGTCTCATCTAGAGTGATGGGTTGAAGTCCCATGTCTTTCTCCACGTTCCATAGGGCGACGTTCCCTGTATGGCTTGCCTCCCTTATCCTCATAATGAGGGAGTACCTTTTGGGTGAAGGGTCCGTAAGAAAGCAATGAGAAATAGAGCATCTCAATGAGTACCTTCCTTGATGGTGACTATGGGTCGAACAACTCTTTACCGGAGACCTACTCCTATGACAGGTAGATTGAGCCTCATGTGAGTGATTGTTGTGATGGTCACTTTGTCGAGGCGGGAGTATGACCTGACTAGCATGTTTATTGTCCCTTTGGAGAAGAAGCCCTTTCTTGAGGGCTTTTAGTTCCTCCATCTTTTTTCCTATTGCTTCCTAATAGACAATCTTAGTAGTTGGTTTATTTCTTTCACCAAAGGCCGATAGGTTGTGACAGGGAAGGTATTGCTCTTCTGGGTGCTTTTGTCCGTCTCAAAGAAACATGTCACCAGGTAATTAGAGGTTATAATTTGAGGGATTTTCAAGGATTGGGGGTAGTGTAAGGTCAAGTGGCTTGTTGAAGGATCGTTAGTTCTCTCACCAGACATGGTTCAAGGTTTATAGGCTATTAGAAACCTTAGTTGTTTCTTACAAACGATGCCAATTATAGGGGAATAAATCTACATAAAGAGTAACCACCTCGTATGGATGGAGAGGGCCATGAGAAAGCCTTGAATAACCTGCAAGACAAGAGAACACCTAGTCAAATCGATAGGACTCTGATGTACAGATCGTGAGTCAAAGAAAAGTATAGAATGAATAGACTTATGCTCCATTTTATAGGGAGTATGGAAAATAGGAAGGATAAAAAGTAGGAAGGATAGACTTTCTATCTTTCAAGGATGGAAACTAGGAAGGATACACTTTCGTTTCTATGTTTAGTTGGATGGATGAAAAACAAAAATGACTATTTTTTTTATGCTAGCTAAGATTAAGAGTAACAATCGAGTCATGTCATGTCAAATTCGTGTTGAGTCATTACGGATTTGTGTCGAATATTAGTTAAACATAATTTAACTCATTTAACTAATTGTGTCGTGTTAAGTTGTAAGTTGACCTGTTTAGTTTCGTATCAAGTTCGAGTTCGAGTCGTGTCGTTTCATCATGTTGAGTCAAAAATTTTCACCCTTAGTTAAGATGCAAAAAATATTTTTTTTTTAATTTTTAATTTTTAATTTTTTTTTATATTTTATTTTTAAATTTATTTTTAAAATTTTTTAATATATATATATATATATACATATTCTATCATTACAGATAAAAAAGATACATCTCAAAACAAATAATTAACTTTCTATACATTTTCCTTCCAATTTTGGTGAATTGGAAGAAAAGCTAATTCATCCACTTTTTCATCTTTCCTACTTTTCTTCCTTACCAAATATGATGTTTTATTTATCCCTCTAACTTTCCATCCTCTCACTTTTTCATCGTACCAAACGGAGCATTAAATTCCAAGAATTACTTGGTAACTAGGACCTTTATTTATAGTAGTAGGGAGATGTATCCCAAAGAAATCCGAACTCTTAGTTGATTGGCTTAATCCTGTCATCTGGTCTTAAAAGTTTAGGGTAGAGTTAAATTAGGACTCTTGATCTTAAGTCCTTATCATCATTTGGAGTTACATTTTACTTAGACTATAACTCATCGGTCTCAATATCAACTCCTAGATATTCAAAGCAAAGCACGGAAAAATGAGGACTTGCCTAAAGTTACTTGCCAAGTAGAAGTGGCCAGGCGAGCCACTTGCCGACTGAGAGTGAATCTTGGTCTTCAAATGCCAAGTGGCATGGGCTACTTTCTTCAATTGTCGATTGGCATGAGCCACTCCTCTTGCCTCTTGTCGACTAGCATGACTTTCCTTGCATCTTGCCGAGTGGCATGAGTGCCTTGAACACTCTATGCCTCACAGTAAGATAGTCATATCCATTGGTGATGGATGTTAAAATCCTATGCGAAATATTTTAATCTATAATCCTTAATATCACCACCCAAGACAAAAGTTAGACTTTATTATTTTGGGTCCAACAATACTATTCAAAAGTAAAATTTTTAAGTATTATATCTCTAGTATTTGACCAATAAAAGCGTGACACATAAAATTTTACTTATTATATTATATTAATCTATTATTTTACAGTCAATTCTTCTAAGTTTATCAAACTAAAATTAAAATGGGTACGACACAATTTTATTTTATTTTTGGTGCCATCAACATGTCCTATTAATTTAATATAAACTATAAAAAAAACTACATTGCAACAAAAATGAATCGCTGGGACTTAGAGGAAAGACAAAATAGTATTGACAAGTTTTTGGAGAACACATTTGGAAAAATCACCCTGCTAGATATTGGTTGAGTCATGGACCTGAATCGGGGCGCACATGGTGAGTCAACCCAAATTAAAGAATGCCCAAAAGGGCATGTCTTTTGGAGGTATCTTTTACCACCCAAAATACATGTCTGTTAAATATTAACAGACACGTTCTTATAGAATGTGTTTTTTAATGACACCTATTGGTTGTTTACATAAACCCAAAACAATCCAATAGATGAGATATCTTTTGATAATTCATCTAATGTTAAAAACTCTCTTCTCTCTCTCCCTACGTAACATTTGTAAGGCTTTTGTGCTGTGAAAACTCGATGTTGATTCCTATTGTGTAACATTACAATACTAATTGAGCAACTGAAGAGAAAACGATTTTTCAGATTCTAAAGTACGTGGAACATCTTCAAACGGTTTTTAAGATTAAAACGAACAAGGTATATTTTTCATCTTATACTTCCACAATATGTATACGATTCCCAACACACCCACATCGGTCAACCACCTTTGTTTTCCAAAGAATATATTTTAAACTTGTTCGGATTATGGTTTTCAATATTTAAACTTCAAAGAATAATCAATGCAAGCTTTGACACCCTATAATTTTTTTTAAAAAGAGAGAGAGAGAGAGATGTTTGAGTGGCCAAATACTTCAAATCGTGAATAACAATACCCTTGTGTGCTCAATGGCATTGCTACATTGTGATTTAGGTCCCATATTTTTAAGATTCTCTTTTCAACTCATTAATTTTATGTGATTTTTAAATAGATATTATTCAACCCTTAACATATTATTATTGATGATGATGAATTTAAGTCTGGACTTTATTTTGAGTCAAAAGCCTCCGATGGGCTCATCAAAGACAATCAAAGCGGTCGTTCCAGATAATATCTTTCCATATCTAGGTTGGACCACAACCCCGTGCCATGAAAAATATAAGATCATCCAGCCTAAACTAGTGCCTAGGTCGGACCCCAACGAGCTTGGTAATAAGCATTTGCTCAAGAGTTTGAGCTCAGCACCAAGCCAATTTGATATAACCCCGATTGCACCACGTGGACAGGGGACAGGGGTCAATGCTTAATAATTCTAACGAACAAATATTCCCTAATGGAGGGAATGTCACATACATTTCGTTTCAACGGTAGTGAGTACAGGAAACGTCAAGTTGGCAAGCTTTATTACAGGACAAATGAGGAGGGGACCACAAAATCAACCAAAAAATGAAGAATTATAGAAACCCTAGTACCAAAGGGTATAAATAAGAGACAAAGTCACCGTAAAGATAGAGAACACCATAGGCAACCTAAAAAATACGTTGTAAAAGGTTACTAACCAGGCCTTCTATAATCGCTACCTTCTTCTTTAAGCAATATAGTTTTCAAAGAATAAAAGTCTCCATTATAGTTAATGTAGCCTTAGTCCTTCGACTGAGATGAAACACTCATACTACTGTCTTCATCATCTTTCATACACCGAACACACCCCCAGCCACAAGCACACACAAAGTCCATCTGAGCTACGTCCCATTCTATTCTGTAATTGAATAGAAAGGTTTTGAGCACCATCATCTATATTCAATTTGGCACTTGAAAAATATCTAGCACCGACAGTATCTATTTGTGCATGTAAATTGTACCGATTGAATACTTCGCTGTTCAGGCTCAATTTGTTCCTTTGTACAAAGTGTTTTGTCAGAAATTTCAAATATTGACAAGTTCCAAATAGTTTATTTAACCCAATGAGTAATAAGCCTTATGAATTGGACAAGTTGCCGTTCGGGTTTCTTTTTCTTTTTTTTTTTGTGTTTATATTTATGTCTACTACTCCCTCGAGCTCTAAATCGAGGATCATAACTCAAGCTAGTTTGAAAACATCTCTCCTGAAAAATAAGGGTGATTAACTTTTAAAGAGTGTGAAAAATATTAAACCTGAGATTTCAAGATAGACTTAACCACTAGACTATAGATGATCTTATTAATTTCAGTTGTATTAGAATAAAATTATCCATCCGAAAATGAATTTATCAAATATTGTATACCAAATGATGTGACCAAATTCTCGAATGTCTAGTGGGAGTACATAAGAGTGGGTGAAACTATTCCAATCATTTACACTAAATTGATATACATAATTAGATAAACAATTTAGGAAACATAACAATACTTTTTGCATTTATTTAACTGTTGTCCGAGTCCCAAAGTCCATGGTCACATAGCAGCACTCAAATGCTACAGTAACATTGAATACCAACCACACAATAACATTAGATAAGGCCATGGTCTCAATGGTTATTCTTTAATACTATATCAAAAAATAATTTATGATTATGATACTAAAACATATTTTAAATTGTGTAACACCGGAGATATGGCTATTGATTATTGTTGAATCCAACACTGGAGCAGGAGGATATACAGCAAACGAACCGTCAAACTTCACATCGGACTTTGAGATCCGTCCAAAACAGCTGAAGCAAGCCGTGACATAATCAGAGGCACACCGCACACGTATGGTCATTCTCACACGTGTCACACCACCACTTGACCATGAACTGGCTGCGGTCAACCCAACTCTCCCCTCCCCCAAAACCACAAATTCATCACCACCACCACCTTTCACCTTTCAGCCACGTAAAGGGACACATACTCTCTCTGTCTCTCTCCAGTTCTAGGAACGACCGGTCTAAATTCTATTCTGCCACGTGTCAATTATACTTTTTTCACATGCATATATATTCCCCTGTGATTCGCTTCAGATTGTATTCGCCATTTTGGACAGAAAAAAGGATTCAGAGGAAGAGAAACAGAGTGGTTCAGAGGACCCAAAAAGAAAAAGAGGAAAGGCATTTAGAGAGAGAGACAGAGAGTTTTGTGAATGAAGAGTGGTCAAGAGTTGGAGTTGCCGCCGGGGTTCAGATTTCATCCGACGGATGAGGAGCTGGTGGTGCATTATCTCTGCAGGAAGTGCGCTGCACAGAGTATTGCGGTTCCGATTATTGCTGAGATTGATCTTTACAAGTTCGATCCATGGCAGCTTCCTGGTAATTTATTTGAATAACTAAATTACTAATTTTTTTTTGTTATTAATAATTGAGAGTTTTTTAGATTTTAAAATGTGGGTCCACAGAAATTTATTAATAAGGGAATTAAATGCTTCCATTATTTTAGATCAAGTAATTTTAATTTTTTTCCTTTTTAATGCTATATTTTTGACATTTTAATTGTGTTTGATTCTTTAAATTCAATGCAGATATGGCTCTTTATGGAGAAAAAGAGTGGTACTTTTTCTCCTCAAGGGACCGGAAGTACCCCAATGGTTCACGGCCGAATCGGGCTGCCGGAACCGGATACTGGAAGGCCACCGGAGCTGATAAGCCGATTGGGAAGCCGAAATCACTCGGAATAAAGAAGGCACTGGTGTTCTACGCCGGAAAAGCCCCTAGAGCAGTGAAAACCAATTGGATAATGCACGAGTATCGCCTAGCCAACGTGGATAGGTCAGCTGGCAAGAGAACCAATTTGAGGGTACATACTTATTCTCTTATCTAAAGGAATTTTAGAGGAAGATCTTTTCAATACATTTTCTCTCTATTCGATCTCTTGCTTTTATACGAGTAACATCCATTATAAATAAATAAATTCTGCACTAATGTAATATATATTCTTTTCGTATTTTGCAGCTTGATGATTGGGTGTTATGTCGACTATACAACAAAAAAGGTATCAACGAAAAGCATTACAATTTGGATCAAAATACATCCACATTGTCGGAGACACAAGAGCAAAAGCCAAAAATCATATCGTTTGCTCATAATGGAATAACATTGCCACCTCCGCTACCAACATCAAGTATGCCACCACAGATGATGGACCCCTACTTGAATTTTGACACAACGGAGTCAAAACCGAGGTTACACATGGACTCGAGTGGCTCGGAGCACGTGGCGTCGCCGGAATTCGCGTGCGAGGTCCAAAGTGAGCCCAAATGGAATGAGCTTGAGAAGGCCCTTGATTTTCAGCTGGATTACATGGGTGGTTTTGGAGATGACCCTTTAGCCTCCAGAATGCAATATAGTGATCAACTGTGGCCAATGCAGGACATGTTCTTGAACTTGCAGGAGCCATTCTAACCGTTCGATCAAATAAATGTCGGCCCAAAACAATATTGTTACGTAGATTTCATTTGCACCCAGAAATTTCATGGTGGCACAGCAAAATCTGTCACTCTTCAGGTGGAGGTGACATTAACCTTCGGAACTGGAAAAATTGTTGTAGTCAAGTATAATAATCTCCTTGGAAAAAAAAAGCGTAATTTAAAAATTGGTACAAAAATTTAAACTTATTTGAGTAAAACTACAATAGAAAATTTTATTTAACTCTAAGTGTATTTTTTGAAAAAAAGACTAAAATGTCATTTATTACTTCATCATTCTCTCTTTCCTTCTCTCTCCATTACTCTATGACTCTCTCTTCCCTATTTTATTTCTATCTATTTCTCTCACTCTCTTTCTCTCACATTGATAATTTATTTTTTTTAAATATATAAAAATTTAATTTAATTTTTTCGTCTCTCTCCCCTTATTTTCTTATTCTCTCTCTCCTTATATAAATGTTACAACAACATAATTACACTAATCAGTTACACCAATTAGTTACAATTATCTTATATTATACCAAACAGTTACTCATGTATTCTAATAAAACAAACGGTTACACTAAATAATTATAACTCTAGCTCAATTTATCATTCAGTTATTTACATAAATCAAAGAGTTACATCAATTATATACATCAAATTGAGTTTATCATTACACAAAAGATTTTACCATTATACTAATTTTGGTATATATAATTGGTGTAACGATACCGCGATACTAAATAATGCAACTATTTATTTTATATAAACTACTGAATGGTAAATTAGGTTAGTGTCATAATTTTTTGTAATTGTATGGTGTAACTGTTTGGTTTATCAAATGGGTTAGTTTCATAATTTTGTGTAATTGTTTGGTGTAACTGTTTGGTTTATTAGAACGCATGAGTAACTGTTTGGTTTATTAAAACACGTGAGTAACTGTTTAGTGTATTATAAGATAATTATAACTGATTGGAATAACTAATTAATATAATTGTTTTATTGTAATATTGATATAAATATAGAGAGAGAGAGAGAGAAACGATTAGAGAAACTAGGAGGAGAGAGAATATGGAAGATAGATGAAAAAATAAATCAAATCTTTACATATTTGAAAAGAAAATAAATTATCAATAATAGATAGAGAGAGAAAATAGAAGAGTAATGGGAAAAGTAATGGAGAGAGAGATGGAGAGAAAATAGGGGAGAGATAGTGAGAGAATCTAATGAAATCTTTACAGATTTAATTAGATATCAAGAATGCATAATTTAAGGAAGGGTATTTAGGTAAAAAAAATTGATTTTATTTGAAATTTGTACCTAAACACAATATGTTTTGTTAAAATTGAACTTAATAGAGTAAACAACTTATCCATATATTTTTTATCAAATAATTTTAAAAAATTATACTCACACCTAAAAAACCCAAAAAAGAAAAAGGATAATTTGGAAGTTGGTACATCAAATTAGACAATACAGATACATCTAAGACAACTCTCGTTAGAGGAGAGGGTAAATAAATTTGGTTTGTACGATAAAAATGAAAAATACTAAGAGAAAATTAAAAGAGGTAAAAAATTTACTTTCATGGCCACCAAGGAGCATTACAACAAAAGTATGACGTCAAATATCCATGAGTCTACCATACACATACCCGAACCCACCTACCTTCAATATAGAAGTTGAACAAATATTCAAGTCAAATAAATCCAAATCAAATATGTCCACCTTACTAAAGAAAAACATAGATGTAATTGATCTGTTGTGTGATTAACCCTAATTAATGCATAATTTAATTAAGTTAATAGATCAATTGTGTTAGTTAAACTAGTTAAAATAAGTCAAATTAGGATTAGTATGTGAATTAGGGATAATGCATTAATTGTTGTTCTTTTCAGGATTTTGTGCGTCAAAGTTACACACTATTGGAGAGACAATTGTGTCAAAGCTACACACTACTGGGGAAATAATTGTGGCAAAATTACAAACTGCTGGGAGCTAATTGGGTCAAAGCTACAAACTACTAGGTGTTAATTGTCAAAACTACAAATTATAGGGTGCAAATTATCAAAGCTTAAAATAAATGAGGATCAAAGTGTAATTCAAAGCCATCAAACAAAACTTTCATCATCCCTTGTTGCCTATAAATACCACCCCTTAGGACTTGTAAAGCATCCATCTTTTGGTAGTAAAAAACCCTCTAAAAGTGTTATTATTTTCTTTAAGTATTACTTTCTTTTATTGTATTATTGCCTTCTTTTAATTTATTGCTTCTTTTACTTTAAGTATTACTTTCTTTTACTTTCATTGTTTGAGCTTCCTTCTTCCCCTAGAGGAGTGAAACTCTTCCACTTTTCTAAAGCTTACCAAAGTCGTGAAGGGTGGAACGTGATTCACTCATTCTTTGTCGAAGATCAGCTCCTTGTGTAATATATTTTACCTTGTAATTCCTCTACTTGGAGGGAAAAGCATTACTCACTTTTCTAGCTTTACCAAAATCATAAAAAGTGGGTAGTTTCTCATCCAATGTTTAGTAAGAAGTGATGAATATGTATAATTATCCAGAAGTTATATATGTGCGTTTCGTTTATGCTTAGCTCCAATCTTCATTTCTTCATAATATCTTCTCATTACATTGTCATCTTTACCTTAAGCATGAGTAGCTAAGTCTTTAAGTTGGCTAATCCAAGAGAGACCTCCTCTTGGATATGTCATTTCAACTCATCTTCTTTCCTCCTCTCGGTGTACGATAGTTCGGTTTGACTGGGTTAAGTGAAGACATGGTATGAGTCTTTGATATCCCGTAGACTTATCACGGGTTATGTATGGATCCTCACTTTCATTTCGTCCCTCACTTTCCACGAATCAATCGTTCATCTATGCACCATTGGAGGAAGGTTCCGAGTTAACTTGACATTTCCATTGGAGTGAACCCTTCGGATTAGCTAGCACTTGTTTCTCATTTCAATTTCATCACAACACAAATCACAAACCAACTTCAAACAACAAAAGATTTTACACTTTTCTTTCACCAAAAATATCTTCTACATGATTCACCTCCTTCTCTGAGGAAACTGCCTTGGAATACGGTTCCAAGTAAAACACGACACACAAAAGTCTTCTTGCGCTTGGGAAGCATTTTTGTTCACACACACACACACACACATTTCATTCCACCATTCCGTTGCCCTTTCTTTTGACATCATTCCACAGGAGAGTGACATTTCCCTCCACACATAGACTATATGCATTGAAGAATGATATTTAGAGGTTAGGATATACTACAACAGATAAGACCAAGCATTGTGACTAACTACACATGACTAACTTGGTTAGTAATAGTAGAAGATTAGATCATCTATAAATATTAGTTGTATCTGAAAATTGTTCTATGAAATCTCTCTTATCTTATCTTCTTCTATGTTTTGTGTTCACAAATCTAAGAGTTAATCTCTCAAATTCACAGTCTCATCACATTGTTAGCATTCAAAAATTAGAAAGGACCTTAAAATTTAAGAGGTATCCCAGCCACTGCAATTGAATAACATGTTCCATCAAATGCATGCTTCTTACCCAATTTGCAACACAGGCCATTATCATCGCTTCCCCCAAACTCACGCTTAATGATTGATTCAGACCACAAACCACTCTGCCAATCAATTAATAATCAAAAACTCCATCACCAAAAATTACATGAAAAGGCAAAACCTTGAATGTGAGAAATTGAACCATAAACCTGGAAAACCCAAACCTAAGATTAGAATAGCAAAAGGAACCATGAATGTGAGAAATGAAGCTTCAAATATGTAATATATTTGGCAATTATAGCAGAAGCACAAATTTTAAAAATGGGAAGCTCAAATGTTTTAAACAAGAATCAAGTCTACATAAACCCATAGTTTCAGTATTCACAAAAATAGTCTGTTGACATTACAAAAAAAAAAAAAGAGAACTACAACACTTCTAGGATAAAAAAATTAGGGCTTTCTAGCAATTACAACAACTACAACTGCTACTTTATCCCAATAGACTCAAAACAACAAAATTCTATAAACCTTCCGGAAAAAAAAACAAATTTTAGAAATTGCATTAATAAATTATTACCTTTGCCAACTGAAACAACAAATAAGCATATTAAAACAGCTACCTTTAATACTCCTCATTCCATTCATAACCTAAAAATATGTATGAAAAAAAAACAATGTCACAGATATGTAGGGTAATAATCTTTAAGAATATTGTGTGTAAAAACTAAAATCACTATAGGGCTTACCTATAATTAGAAAATAAGGTGACCCAGAATGAGATTGAACACATAAATTAGTAGATGTAAACCATCAAACAACTGAGAGGCAAACCATCAAACATGTGGTGGGTGGTGATGATATGAAGGGGTAGAGGCAGAGGAGGAAGGGGATGTGGTGGTGATCGCGATGGATGTGGTTTGGGTGGGTGTTTGTGCTGTGATGGTGTGTTGCCACAGTTGTAAGGAGTTTCGGAGTGTGCTGTGAGGGATTTTGAAGAGACAGCCAGAGAATAGAAAGGCAAGCTAGAGAGAGGGAGGAGAAGTGCGTAAGAGAATGAGAAAATGGTGTGGGTGGGTGAAATACAAAGGGTTTGGGGTTGGTTTGTGTGCAGAGAGGATGAGAGAAAGAAAGGGAAGGGAGGGGGAGGAAGAAAACTACCTCAGAGCTATGCCAGTGTTGTGTCGCTGTCGCTGGCACTGGACTTCACTTGAAAATCTGGTAATAACCAAAAGAATATCAGTTGGAAATCATGGGCTTGATTTCACCCATAATAACCGAAGGAATATCAGTTGAAAGAGAAACCATCAACTAAGGGTTGCGGTTTTAGGAGTGGAGATAGGTCCTTACCATTGAGAGAGATACTTGACCGTTGGTAGAGCTGGGAAGCATCGTCGTTGTTGTCATTACTGGGAGGCAGTGGTTTCCTTCGACTAATATGGGGGTGGGAGAACAGAGAGGAGGGTGAGAA